TTTTTAGTGGCTTGATTAAACTAGGAGCTTCTGGGGACAAGGGCAACAAGCCATAAAAAATTATCATCTGGTAGAAAAATTTGACCCTGCTCTGATCTTGGTTTGCAGCCAGTTTAAGGTAACAAGAATGAGGGGCTGTTTCCTTCTAAGCTGTGGCCAGAGGGGTAACAGAAGGCCTGGATTCTTGTCAGGCTTGGTGAAGATGGTAGCTTCCTGAACAACAAATTGCCTATCAGCTTTGTAAATAAGACAATAGGTGTAAGAGGACTCCAATTCTCCTTTTCTACTAATTATTGCATAACCTCAGAAAAGGTTATTTAACTTTCCTGTGAATGAGTCGGGTTGGGCGACCGCCACGCTTTCCCCATAACTTCAGTGTCCCAAGCTGTAGCCCTTGGACCACGTGACCCCTGAACATTTGACTGTGTTAGTCCAAACGTGGACGTGCTGCCTTTTCAACTGGAGAATTCAGAGGTTTAGTACAAATAATGATGACTGGCTTGTTACTCATGAGTATATGATGAAATGATAATATTTAGATATACTGAGTTAATAAGATTAGTGTTAAAATCAATCTCATCTGCTTTCTGCCTACTTAATGGGATTACTCAGAAAAAATTTTAATTACATATGTAGTTTAAAATTTATTTACAATGGTCAGTACTGCTTTAAAAGTTCGACAGCTCTATCTAGAGGATCAACTTGTGCCCCCTGCCCTCACGTTGTAGAAATGAACCAAACTCCAACTTCTCTATCAGGAATTGGTGTTATAATGAAATAGGAAATGGGAACTTTGGAGGAGACACAGGGCTTGGTGAAGATGGTAGCTTCCTGAATGGGAAGGCACAGCACACGGAACAGCAGGACCAGACTCTGCCACTAATGAGGGGACCTTGTCACAGGGCTTAGTAATACACAAAGTAGTCAGAGGTGACTACTAAGGTCTGTGGAATTATGTACCCCTCCATAGCCTCAGCAGCTTCTCTGTACTAACCCTCAGAGTGTCAAAGTATGAGAAAGGGGGGCTGCAAAGAAATTGTAGTTGGGACCCTCCCTGGTGGCACAGCAGGTTTAAGCACAGCATTAAGAGTTCAGGCCAGGGAGGTGACCCACATGGCACAGCAGACGTCACCTGTCTCGCCCCCTGCTCCCCTCAGCGTGTACTCCGTCAGTCTGCCTGTTCTGCTCCCCACTGTCTCTTAGGAATCCTCTCCGCCCCTGCACATCTGGCCTGTACCCCAGTTCTGTATGCATAAATAAATAAATTAAAAAAAAAAGTTGTAGTAGGAAGCAATGAGGATTCACAAAATCGGCATATGCATCAGCACTCAAACCTTGAAATCCCCTGCCTGCATCCTCCACTGTGGCTTCCCTGTAGTAGGGAAAAGCCTCTTCAGATAAAATGAAAGGTAACTGTACTTAACAATGAGTGGGGTTGGGCATAAGGTTTGCTAAAGTAAACAGGG